TTTGTTTTTTTGCGTGATAAAATCAAAATATGATCAACGAAAATCATTACCAATTATAAGGATGTCCATTATGCTGTGTGTGTATCATTCCGCGGTTTTGAAATTCATCATGTTTGAAGAAATGCTCCCAATTTTTTTTTAATGAACAAAAATCTATTTAATCAATTTTAATGCTAATTAAAATGCAAATATTAGTTATCCAAATGATTTAATTATTTGTCTGCTCATCCTGTTTTGTTTGTATTTCTTATAATTAACTAGCTATATTGTTGAATAATAGAGAAATACTCATTTTGTGTTAGAAAATATATATAATAAATTTCAGCATTAAAATAAATTATTAATTTATCTTTAAATTTAGTCACCCAATTTATATAATAATAATAAACTCCTCCAATTGTTAATGATTTCATCCATAAAACAGTAAATGGACAACAAATTTTGTTTTGTAAAAAAAAAACTTTTTGGTATTTTTTTTTTATTCATATTAGATCCTCACATAGGATTGGAAAACATATGGGTTCCATGCTAACAAAAAGATAGTTCGGGCTCAAGAACCCCAAAATGAGTTGTTGGCATCACTATATACTTTGAAATAAGGATTATAATTTGGTATAATTTTTATTGACATTCAATTAGTAAAAAAGTGTGTAATTAATCCATAAAGTTTTATTGAATGCTGACCCCCAAACAGTGTATAAAATTCCGCGGGAGTGTATAACGTTACACAGCTTGTGTGCACATATATTTTTGTAAAATTTTTTATAAAGCATAATGGACACTCATTTTGTGCAACAGTCATTTGTATAATAGGCAGGAGGTCACACAGAGACCATTGCTTCTGAAACTTCACTAGAATATAGCTGTAGCCTCTCTAAGTCCAGATAATCAGCAAGATCAAAATTATCTCACACTTTTATAATCAAACTTTTGCAAGAACTTTCACCATAACATATGTTATGTTGATCATTTTTTTGTGATCTGCAACAGTGTCCACTATGCTATTCAAGGTAGTGTGTGTGCTTCAATGCCTGCTATTTCTTGATAATCAAAGCATTGCATATTGAAATGTTTCTTTTTCAATGGTGTGTTGCCTTGACATCTTGTAGTTAAGTTATTGCAATATTAATATTATTATGATTATAAAAAGCAAAATACACAATCTTGATAAGAATCTTATAATTACCCAGCAATGATCTGCTTCATGTTTTGATTTCAATTATAATATTTATAATATTTATAATAACCAAAAAAGACAATGCAAATTAAAAAAAAGTACCTCGGGTTAGTTATTAACACATCTTCTTTAGGAGGTTTGCATTTTGTCATCTTGGACTCTGTCAAAAAATAATTTGTTTTTCAAAAAAAAAAGAAAAAAAATCAATTCACATCTGTTTATAGATGCTGGTCACAATTCTTGGTGATGGTTGCAACCATATTTGCGACATATAAAAATGGTTTGTGACACCTGGTTGCAACCACCTTTGCATGGAACACTATGTCTGTTCCAAAAACAAATCTTTGTGCAACACCAAGTGCCAATAATAAATAATTAAATGTGTACACATCGATCAATTCAACAATTCTTTATTGTAAAAATGTCTTACCATCCAAAGAAACAAAATCAAGAAAACACTCAAGAAGATAATTGGGAGGTAGTTGCTGGGTAATTGTTTTAAGAATAATGGTGGTGGTTATCACCACTCGTCATCACTCTAGTAATAATAATAATAATAATAATAATAATAATAATTTTAATTAAACACACATAAATACCCACTGAACTTTTTTTTTACTGTTTAGTTTGTTTAGTTAGCTACTTATTATTTACAATAAACTACAATATAATTCTAAACACTACTATAATATTAACAGAAAACATAAACTTTTTTATTTTTAAATTATAAACAAAAACCAAAAAATACTTAAAAATGAACAAATCAAACAAAAGAAAAAGAAATAAAGAAAAACAAAAAGAACAGCATGGGTAAGTGTTTATCATAAGAATGGTGGTGGCAGTTATTGCCACCACTTGTCACTCTATTTAATTATTAAAAGAGTGGTTCACATCTAATTATTAATGTGACTGTTATTCTTGGGAAGGAAGGCAATAAAAGAATCAAAATAGACAATGATTCAAATAAAGGTATGATGTTTTTTATGTATATTTGATAAAGAAAAGTGTAAAAAATGGGAAAAGACAATGAAAAACTTTTCTTTATCTAAAAGAAGAGAATGATCTTGAATTGACAACTCTAGCAAAAATAAATCTGATAATGAAGTTATTGAGAAGTTCTCCCATGGTAGAACAATATTTTGATGAATTTAGAAATTTTTTTGCTGATGATGAGAGACCTGAAGATTTAAATTGAGTAATAGAGAACCTTGAGCAAGAAATGATTAGCTTAAAAGATTGTATTAAATCTCTAAAAAAAAATTGTGTGAAGAAATGGACATAACTGAATCACTTAGTGAAGAAAATGATGAGCTAAAGGATCAAATATTATGATGCAAAATTTGTTTGAAAGACAATTTGACACATTGTTTTTCTCCCTGCCATCATTTAGTAGCTTGTGAAAAATGTGCTCAAAAAGTTGATTATTGTGTGATCTGCCAGGCAAGAATAGAATCATGTTTCAGAATTTATTTTTAGATAAATTTGTAAAAAAAAAAAAAAAAATCCTCTAACTTAATTAAACTTATTTTTAACTGCAAACAAATTTCCTTTTGGCCTGAAGTCCTTCTTTGGTGTACAAATGTTCACTTTGTCTGGTTTTGAATTTTGCAACTGATGCAGAACCATCTTTACTTTTGTCTAGAGGCAATACCAAGAAAAGAACAAATATTATAATCACATTACATTGGTAGTACAATTTAGTGTTCCATGTCGCAATCCAAAAAAGGAAACAAAATGGTCGTAAAGGTGGTTGCAACCAGTGGTTGCAATCATTTTTATATGACGCAAAGATGGTAGCAACCATCATCAAAAGTTGCAGCTGGTATCCTTAGTACAATTGTGATGTTAAACATTATTGATCCCTGAAATTCTTGGTAACTTCAATGTTCACTTTGTTTGGTTTTGTTTAGTATGTTCCATATAGAGAAATTATGAAAAAATGAATTGGGAATAATAATAAAGTTTTTGAACTCTATCAACTCCAAAGTGCAATACTAGGTTGTTCAAACATTATGAATCATTCAAGTCACACATCAAGGTATCTTGTTAAATCAATAAGTCATACAGTATAATTGATTTATTTGTTCTGTATACTTAAAGTTAAAAGTGTTTTTTTTTAAAAAAATCTTCATACCTTTTCATGGAGAAATGTAAAAAAAAAAATTTTTATTTTATACTATTTAATGTTAATAAAGAAAATCAAGTTCTTACAAGATTAAGAATAAGAAGTTTTATAATATTTAAAATTGTATGTATATATATTTTAAACTTGCAAATAATAAGTGTAACAAAAGAAAATTTATTTTTTATAACTGATCCTTTTTTAAAAAAGCTATAGAAGAGTTTCTTTACTAAAAGTTATATTAAAAGGAAGCTGAAGATTTGTTCTTACAAGGAAAAAAATTTAACATGTGGTGATATATAAAATTTTATTTACAATATGTAGGTGTTTTGCGTTTTATTTATTTCTACTAAATACTATTCATCAGGAAATTTTCATTACGTCCATAAATTTTAATATGTAAAGTTGTAATATTGCATAAAATAATGTAATAATTGCATAATTTTTGTATGCTTATTTGCATAATATTACAGGGCCTGCCGTAAACTTACGTAAATAGTGTAATAATTACATAAATCCGTGTCAGAAAAAATTTCCTGATGTTATCACCTGGTCACATATCGTGTAATGAAGTAGATTGTTGAGTTATCATTCAGGTTTATTCATCACCTATCGGGATTTAATAGTTATCATCCCTGAGATGAATAAGACCGGAATGATAACCATCAAAATCTACGGTCATACGTTATTGTATGACCGGGAGATAACTCTCTTATCCCCTACATCCGGGTTGATAAGTTGGCAGCAAAATTCGGAGAATTTTGCTGTTATCTAGGGTTGTTAATGGAACATAATGGGTTGGGTTGGGTTTATATTATAGTGAAGCAAGGGTTAACCTAACCCAACCCGGGTTAAATGTAAATACTCCATAGGTTGCTCCATGGAGTAATAATTATAATTATAATTCTCGTTTAAAGTAAAAAAAAATTATTACATTACAAATATATGTAATAAATTCTTATTTATCATTATATTCTATTGAAAAAAATTCCCAAACCCAAGAAGTTTCGCGTGAAGTGTTTGATGAATTAGATTCATTTTCTTTTATAGTATTAGTTGTAACTATACTTGTAGTAGCTGTACTTGTAGCAGTTATAGTTGTAGGAGTAGTAATTAAACTTTCATTATCTTCTTGACTAAAAATCAAATTAATCTCACTTTCTTCTCTATTTATATTTAATAATGATTCACCTGATTGTTTAGGCTCACTATCTGAAAATATTTCATATAAATTTTCATAAATTTTCAGTTTTTTATTCATAATAAAATTTGTGAACAAAGAAATCAAAATTAACAAATTATTATTTTATTAATTGATTAATAATCAAATTACTAAAATAATTTGGAGCATGATGGAGTGATACATAACCCGGGTTGATGCCAGAACATTATTATTATGCTCCATTTAACAACCCTACTGTTATCCCCCACTTCATGGGGATAGCTATTATGTAATTTCATAGTGCGTGACAGTTTTGGATTCACAAAATCTATATGTGCAACCCACTTATTTACTTACCCCTAGGTTCTATTAATGCGCTCCATAAAAATGCACGGGAGCGAGCACCTATGGCTGTATAAAATTAAGTTTTTTTTAAAAAAGAATGTACAGAAATGGTACATTGGATCGCTTTAAAATCCGATTTGATTCGATTCGTTCGGAGCCTCACTATTAGCTTATTATTATCAAAAAGCAATCGTGCCTAAACATAATTAACTCGCAAATTATTGCTCAGAAAAAATATTAATAAGAAAGAAGTTATTTTAGTAATTGGTACACTTAGTCGCAGAATTTCCTATTGGCCATGTAGACCTCCAAAAATGGAAATCTAAAACCAAGTATCTTTACAAACCACGATTACATGGCAAGTTTCGTGTTAAACGAAGAAAATTAAAGAATTTTCATAATAATAATAATAATAATAATATTTTTTTTTTGTATTAGTAATAAAATCATCGACCTCTCATCTTAAAGAAAATAGAATAAATACAAAGTTGTGTATATATACAACTAAACTCGATAAGTCGGCCCTCTCAATCAATTGTTTAAAGTGCTTTGGTAATATAATAATAATATATTGTATGCCTTCCCGAGAAATATTGCATTTAAAAAAATAAAATTGTGAATTTGATGATTATGAACCCCTGAAATTTCCTTGTGACATAAATTCGCTTTGGCCCAAATTATAATGTAATTTTCCAGTCTTACCGTGACCAACGTTAAGTAAGCCGTATTATTAAAAAAACTGAATCTAGTTTGTTCTAGACCTTTACATGGAGGTACGACTGTATTATTAATATTCTTTGAATTGACAAATCTTTATTCGACAATTCAACGTTGTGACACTTTTAATTTTGTGTGTGTGAAAACAATTGATTACGAAATGTTTTATTCCGCCGCAATTATTTTAATATTAATATTAAATGAATATTTGGCGGTCCACTCTATTGTAAAATTATTTTCCAATCAAGGAAGGATACCCTTTATAAACCAATAAGAAACCCTTACGCGTGCACTGATATTTATGCTGAAGATCTAATCCATAAATAAATAAAGTTTATAATATAATTGCGCGAAAAAAAGAAAATCAAGTTATATAATATAAATAGGAAGATTATATAATCGTTAAAAATTAAACACCACATTAATTGAATATTTCTAATAAATACTTGTTCTTACGACGAAAAAAATCTTTCTCACTCGCTTTCTATGCAAAAAAAAAAAAAAAAATAAATTTATTACCAAGATAAAGAATATTAATTATGGTTGAAAAATCTAATGAAAGTGATGATAAAACGATCGTTGCAAATGAAAATGATTTAAACAAAGATCCTTCATTTATTTCCTTGGAAGATCAGAATATTGATCGTTCTATTGAAAAAAAATTATTACGGAAACTTGATATGAGAATTATACGTAAATATATAATTTTTTTATTCATCAAACCATACTAACTAATACTGATGATATTAATCATAATCCTAATCATGATCATAATTATTTGCAGCTTTATTCACATTGACATATCTATTTAATACTATGGAAAAAGTTAATATCGGCAATGCCAAAATCGCAGGTTTAACTGCCGATACTGGTATCAGTGAACCAGATTATAATAATGCTTTATCATTATTCTATATTGGAATTATACTATTCGATGTTCCTTCATGCTTTGTTAATAAGAAAATAGGAATTAATATTTGGTATCCAATTATAATGGTTGGATGGGCTTTATGTTCCTTATTACAAGCATTCGTTACTAACGCTGGTCAACTTCAGGCTCTAAGATTCCTCCTGGGTGTTTTTGAGAGCGGGGCACCACCTATCCAACTTTATTATTATACAGTTTGGTATACTCCTAACGAACTTAGTATAAGAGCTGCTATTGGTTTTGCTTGTTCAATAATTTCAGGTGCTTTCGGTAGCCTTATAGTGAGTGATTAATTATATTATATAATGTAAATTACTACACATCTACGTATAAATTTACATATTAATAATATGATACATTTATTATTATTATTATTATTATTATTATTATTATTATTATTATTATTATTATTAGGCTTATGGTATTGTGACTCAAATGAATGGATTGAGTGGTTTACATGGATGGCAGTGGATATTTATTATAGAAGGATTACCTCCATTTATCTTGGCAGCAATATTTTATTTTGTCATACCTCAAGATCCAAACCATGCCAAGTTTCTAACAAAAGAAGAAGTTTCCGTGGCATATAAAAGATTGCAAATCCAAGCCGCACCAAAGAAACTACCAAGTGATCTAATAAAGAAACAAGTTTTCAGTGCTTTTACTGATTATAAGATTTACTTATTTGCAATCGTTGCACTTGCTAATGGACTGCTTTTCAATTCAGTTCTACTTTTTACTCCGACAATTATAAAGGAAATGGGATTTGATTCAATCAAATCTCAAGCATTATCAGCTCCACCGTTTGTTCTTGCCGCTATTGCTTTGTCTTTTAATACTTGGCTAAGTAATCGAAATAATGACCGTGGATTTCATATTATAGGGCCAGATTTAATTGCAGCTATAGGTCTTGTATTAATAATTTCAATCAAGGAAAATATTGTGACAAGATATGTAATCATGTGTATCGTCATTGCCTGCTTGCTTTCTTATCTTGCAGTTTTTGTTTCTTGGATGGCAACTAATATTGGTAATTATTATTCATATAATAGTCTGTTGTTGTCGCTGCTGCTGCGGTTGATACTAATTGGTTTATTATTTTTTTTAAAAAAAAAGCCGGACAGTATAAAAGGGCAGTTGGATTGGCAATAATTTCAACAGTAGGAGAAGTTGGTGGAGTCATAGCAGGCCAAATTTATAGGCCAGATAGTGTTTTACGTGGTCATGTCATAATGATCTCATTCCTTTGTCTTCATATAATTCTTGTCTCGTCAGTAAAATTCATCCTCACTAAACTTAATAAGAAAAAAGATTTACTCCAAAAAATTAATAACAACAACAATGATAATAAAGACGAAAATTTTGAAGAAAAATATAATGAAGAATTATTGGATAATCATCCTAATTGGAGATACCTCATCTAAGAACATTTTTATGGTTTTTTTTGTGTGCTATTATGCAATTTATTTACTTTATATTTAATAATAAATTTAATAAACTATTGATTTTCATATAATAATTACCATTGAAGTTACCAATAATTTGAATTAAACAGGTTGAAGGAGGGTTTGCAGAATTAATTGATAAGGCGATTGATTGTTGAATGATCAAATGAAATTCTGACTAGTAATCAAATTCTTTTTATTGTTTAATATCTTCTTCTGGGTATTGACACTGGTAGAAAGAATTTAATTCACAAAGATTTCACATAGTGAAAGTATAATATTTCACTAGTATTAAAACCATTGTAAAAATCTTGTAAAAATGGGTGTTATGATCAATGCTTTCACTATGTAAAATCTTTGTGAATTACATTTTTTCTACCAATGAGCTATCTGAATCTATAGGCCAATTTAATATAAATTTAATTGAAAATCCAGGTCTTAATCCCCCGTATATCTTTATTGCAAGACCTATATCATGTCGATGGTCGAAACTACCTTTCTTAGTGGCCGAAATTGCTGCATCTCTTAGGTAAAACTATTTTTTAATGATGGCCGAGATTATCCAAATAATTTAAATTAAATTAAGTTTTATTATTTAGTTTTTTCATTATAAAAAATATTGAGAAGCCCAAATTATTGCCGGGATTAATTTTTTTGAAAAATAGTTTGGGCCTGAAACCCTATTGTCGTTGACCTGTTGATATTATTGACATCAATCCTCCAAAGTTACATGTCATGGTGTGCAGTTCAAGTGCAAATATGGTAATACTCCTACTATATGAAGCTGGAGTTGACAACCCTCAAAACTACAACACGTGAACAGATCATGACAAGTGAATTCTTTTCATTTTAAATTTTTAAAAACTTTTTTAAATAATTTTGAAGACTTCCGTTTCCTATATAATCCATTGCAAAGATATATATTAATATTCCTTTTGTGATCAGGTTATCCTGAAAATTTTAATTTTATAAGTAGATTTAAAAATAATAAATCTGTAAAATTCTTCAAGAAATCACGTTCTACCTATTTTCACCATTTAATCCATATATGGCCGCAAAACCACATCCTTCTATCTTTTCATTATCTTTTAAATCATTATAAGAAATCCATTTAAGAGAATAAACATTATTGACATTATTATAACATTTAGATTTAGGTTGTGTGTACTTTTAATCAACTCGTCTAGTTAATAACTTGTGATCACACGAATTTCACCGGCAATGCCAGGCATTGTATCTTTACAGGTTGAATGTTTGCTACACTCTTCTTTTCTATCCTTTGAATATTTCTACATTATAACGTGTATCCTCATTTGGGTATGTTGAAACAAATGAACACGTTAGAATGATTCTTAGTTTCTTAACATATGAATTGATTGCATCAAGTAATACAGAAAGTAAATTGTTTCGAAATCAAAGATGAAAAATGAAACCTCTCGTTTTGAATGCCGCGCAGTTGTGGCGAATTTATTCCTGATGAGACTAAATAATCTGTCTATAATGCAATCATCATAAAAAAAAAATAAGGTAAACGTTTTCAAATATGAGACAACTATTTTGAAGAAACTATCCTTCCTTTCAATTCTTTTTTTTCTATCTTTGATTCTCATAACTTGGCATTGTAAAAGTAGAAGGCAAGATAACAACGCCTATCTACCTTTAAGGAAATATTGGGTTAATTTCCTTCCGTTCCTTGTCACATATTCACTGATGACTTCTCCGTCACATACAAGATATGGCTCTATTTTAATGCCAGTATCTTGTCTTCTGTTGCCCAAACCAATTCCTTCACCTTCTATTCTTATATTTATTTTATATTAATTCAAATCGATTTGCCATGTTATTTTCATTAATAATATTTTCAACTTGTAATATAATTTCTAGTTAGTTTCATTAGTCAAGTTTCTCAATTATATTCCTCCACCTTTGATCATCTTTAACTTTAGAACTTCTAACAGGCCATTAAATTAGATTTGTCTCTTGTAGGAAGCTCTTCAGTTTATATTTAATATATCTGAAAATGATTTGTAGTTTTTTCGGCCAAAGCATAAACAGTTTCAAAGGAATTTGGCATATTTAAATAATTGGACAACGGTTGGTAGAGATTCCGTACACTATTCTTTTTTGTTCCGTACATTGTGTATTTTCTAATTTCTGTATACTCAAACTTTTTATTGTGGGTGCTGTCACTTTTTCAAAGAATTTTCATGTACAGAACATTATTCAGTACGAAGGCGCAGATGTACGGAATACAGAACTTGTATTATCAAAAACAAAGCGTAGCCAAGACCTTTCTATATAAAGTTACAATTTCATTTATGTCACGTTACCATGGAGAATTAAGCCTCAATATTTTTTATATTAATAATATTAACGAATTGAAAATAGAATATCCATATCGGAAAATTTTCATCGCCATCTTTTTTTTATAGTTGAGTAACAACTCTTTAAAATAATAATGGTTTTTTATTATGATCACATCATTGATCTTTTTACAAAAGTTTGTATACCTCTTAATTACCAATTACTATTATATAATAAAAATAATAAATAATAAACATAAAATTTCGCCAACAATTATTTATTATTATTATTATGTAATAATACACTTTAAAGTCCGTAACTGCGAAATGTTGTGGCGTTGTGGCGCAGAAAGTCCGGCGACTAAATGACTATACATATTTTATATAGTGATAATGCAACAAAACCAGACAAGTGAACATTTATTTTATCAAGAATTTCAGGAATCAAGAATTCCAATGTAATGCGATCATGGATATTTGTTTTTTGCTTCTTATATAGGCCATTTCGAAAATGTTGGCAAGTATCACACAGATCAGTCCTTGGACTCATAATTTGAATCTGGGGATTTAGTTGACGTCACAACTTTCTGAATGCATCATATTTTAAGAATTTCAATTTGCTATCTTCTTCCAGTCCAGTCAGAAAAAATCCGGTGGCGTTCATTTCCTCGACAATCATTTCGTCGACAGTTCATTTCACCGACAACACGGGGGTGATGATTTCGCGTGTGGGCGCATATTATTAACAATTTTATCATTTGAAGTTAAAGGTTACGTCGGGTGTTGTCGGTGAAATGAACTGTCGACGAAATGATACAGTCCCACTTTTTGATTGTGAACCATCTCTCCCAGCTCTCTCACTTTCTTGGATATATTGGCCAAGGCTCAAAAGAAAATTGAAATGAATTATAAGGTATACATCTGAAGTGTTTATACCCATTCCAAAAGCATTTGTTGCTATGATTATT